CTCAGCTGATGATTTGAGTTGCGAATGTTGCTTTCGCAATTAACATATAAGTAGACATCAACAATCAGGGGATTTAGTGGAATTAGGTCAGAGTTTTAAGTCTAACATATTACTTTTTGAGGCTTATAGTTATCTGTGAGTTGAGAATAGTTAACCAATCATTACATTTACTTTACTAAGTATCACACTTGAAAGATTAACGTCTTTGCCGAAAATAGTGGCTGTACAAGTTACAGATTGATCTTGTAGGTTCTTTCATCTGAGTTCCTGCATAAGCCATGTGTATGTTTGATTTCTTTTTTCCAGGATGCTGCTGCTGTCACCTGCATTGGTAGGATACAAATTTATAATTCTTTGTCAAACTCTTGTCTCTTTTTATAGGTTATTGTGGAAAAGGCAGAGAAAAGTGATATTCCCGGCATCGATAAGAAAAAGTATGTTCTTTCTCTGCATCTCTGCTTTCCCCGTGCCTTTACTGCATCTGTGTTATATATAGCATATTCTACTAGTGTTGATTGTAAGCCTGCTTTGATGCTTCCAATTAGATAAACTTTTTGAAATAGTTTGATACTTGATCCAGAATGGTTAGTAATATAGATAACCTTGATATACTGCAACCAAAACGATGAATGCTTGGTCAAGGAGTGATGAAAATTCCAAATAGGAAATATTCCACTGTGTTGTCTGTATTAAGTTTGACTGGTTTTGGCTCTTATCTCTACAATCATTCATTTTGGAAGAGAAGGTGAAGGAACTTCTTAATGTTTTAAGAATGAATATTGTCCTGAAATACTAGCTCTGACAGGGAGTGGTGTTTGTCTTTGCCTTCATCACTGTTGTAGCAAAAAATGTAACCAGTTGGCTTCTTTTTTGTTCTTTACCTTAGTATTTTTTTATGTTGCCAGTCATCTCCACACCCCAACCCACCACTCAAAAAAAAAAAAAAAGATAAGGAAAATTTTCTGGTGTGGTTAGTTGAAGATTTATCTTGATTTAAGCAATTTCTGTGCAAAGCTGAAGTTACTAATTAATTGTTGAAAACTGAACTTCAAGTCTTTTCTAAATTTGTTTAATATTTTTGGTGATTTTTTTCATTTGATGCCATATACTCTTCATTGTGGAGTTCTTAATAATAGTGCAAACATTAGTTGCAGCAAATTTATGCATGTCTGTTTAGGGTGCTAACTTGATGCAATTATAGTCCTTTTCTTTGTGAAATTCTGCAATGGACTTGAAATTATTTTAAAAAAGGCATTACTCAAAATTAATCTGTTATTATACTCTTGAGTCTTCATTTTCCTTGTAATTATTTTGCAAACTTACCAATATGTGTAGGTATAGAACTTGATTACCTTATTGGGAAAGAGATCCTAAATTTCAGTTTTCTGATTGGATCACTGCAGGTACCTAGTTCCGGCTGACTTGACTGTAGGGCAGTTTGTCTATGTAATCCGCAAAAGGATCAAGCTGAGTGCAGAGAAAGCGATTTTTATTTTTGTCGACAATGTCCTGCCACCAACAGGTAGCTCTTAATCTCACGTGTTTGTTTTATCTACACCACCCCCCCCCCTTCTCCCCAAACACAAAACAACCAAAAACACAAAATGATCATAACTGATGATATATGGTGATTTGGACTTGAAGCTGCTTGAAACATTTGCCCTTTGTATGATGCTTGTTGCAGGGGGAATTATGTCAGCCATATATGATGAGAAGAAGGATGAAGATGGCTTCCTTTATGTTACTTACAGTGGAGAGAATACATTTGGAAGCAAGATCCTGCTTTAGCCACCAACAGACGTTCTCTCATAATTTCTTAAACCATTCGCCATCTTGCTCCCACTATAATACTGTGGCAATCACTTGATTATCGTGCCCATCGTTCGTTAAAGATGCAGTAACCATGCATCAGTGTATAGCTTTCTCTGTACAGTTCTTGAATGCTTCCAACAGCATCCCTGCCTGCTGGAACATAACTTGAAATCTTCAATAATTATTTGGATCACGCACTCAATTTGACTGTGTGAGGAACTGGGAAGTATGATCAAGCTTATAGTCCTGATTTTATCCTTATAGCTGGTTCTTGCCTCTTGGTTATGCTTTTGGGTCCCCAGTAATCGCTCCCTTGCAGACCTCTTCTTTCCACATCGGGGAGCCTCCGAAGCATTAATAATAATAATAGTTCAATGACACTGGCATTCGAAAATTAGTGTTGTCTATAAATTCAACTGCCAAAACTATGTCGAATTAACCTTTGTTTGCATGAGAATATTATTTGCATTGACTTAAAATTGTTCTGCATATTAGGCTTTTGCAGAGGTTAACAAAGCTTGCAATGAACAAATCTCTTTTCTTTATCAACTTACTAGTTATTACCCTAATAGGAGAAGCACCAGAGCAGTGTATTTCATAGTTCATGCCCAATACGAAAAGTAGTTTTTTTTTTTCCCTCTTTGGGGGGTACAAAAAGTATGTTAGTGGGCATAAATAAGCTCTTTTCATTGATGTTAAAACTAATAACCAAACAATTACAGGATGTACTTAAGATGACAGAATAATAAATGTGTGGAATAAACTGAAGTAGACAATATACAGAACAGGGATCACAAACAAAAGCTTCATTTCTTCTCTGTTGAGAATTTCCATTGATTGCTAACGTGCAGCTGTAGCAAGCCTACCACTCTTGCACCAGGTAAGTCTATCCAAGGGTCCAAGCCAATTCATCTTCTGTCAGTTTTAAGTGTCAAAGCCTGACTATCTTAGACATTTAAATGAATTGAGGATTGATCCAAAAGCACAGGCTACAGAGTTTCCTTAATATAAAAGATTGGAATGCAAAATTAGAGTTAATTAGTGAAGACATCAGGTATTATAGAGTGACATTAAATGATGCATTCTATAATGATCAAAATAGTTCCATTCTCCACCTAACTCCAGTTATTAAAGAAAAAAAATGATGATGAGATGAGATAAAAACCAAATTCAGTGTATGAAGCAAAGTTTGATGAATAAACCGTACTAACATTGATGAATTCTGGCATCATTATCCCTTCTCCTTGCGAATGGGGGGACCTAAATCTGTTCCCTTCAGCTATAATAATCCTGCCTAAACATACAAATACAAACCAAAAACAGAAGAGGAAAAGAAGACAGAAAACTCAAATGGACCTGGATCATGAGTCATGACAAAGATTTTCTCTTGAAGAATAAGACGATGGTCAGCAGCAATGGTACCCCAGTTTGGTTTTTATGTGGCAACATATATATTTTCACATGGGAGTGGCACATGGATCAACTGCCACTTGGCGTGCATCCTGAATACTTTGATTTGATGCATGTACGATGGGGTTTTGCTGTCTTGGCCTGATGGTGCAATTGCCGGTTTGGCCATGTAAACTTGTCTCCCATTTCTTTTTCTCTCTTTCGGGGCCCTTATTCCCTATTTTCCCATACCCATAGGTCCCCGCTGTTTGAAGCCTCCACGGCCGTATTGAGTACTACTTGCTCGTATCATTATGGTGAAGTATAAATTTGAGTACCACAATATTTGATTTGACAATACCTCATTTATGATTCACATGCTACATTAATCTAGTATTCCTCTTCGATTATCATCTCATCGGGCTCTTTTCTATGATCAAAATCATACTAGTGAAATATTTCAGAAGAATTAAGCTCCGCCCTTACTAAAGTTTATGCAGAGGCAACGGAACTTCAAGAATTCAAGCAGCATCTCTACTGTCAGCTGCTATTAGGCAACTGTAAATTTTGAAACTGTTTTGCCATTAGGATGCTGCTTATTTTGAGTTCTTCATCATTGTAACAAACAGAAATAATAAATGAAGATTATCTTTTCCAAATTTTTTTAAAAGTAAAGTAGCTTAGGAAGAGGGAACGGTTTTTGGATAAAAGGAAGGACTGAAAATTCTTGTGTTGGGCTTGTCATAAGAATTGGTTGTGGTCTTTGTTCTTTGTCAGGGCTTATCATAAGATTATCTTTTCCTGACAAAGAACTTCCCTCGAAACATTTTCATACTTGAACAACTAGATTCTGAATTTTAGAACCTTATTTTCTTCTGGAAAATGACAGAACCCTGAAAATTCTAGCAAACCAACACATATGCTTATCTTAAGAAGCTGCCTGCTCTACATTCTACAATTCTTCCTTCTTGTCAAGATTTTCGCTTTCTGTGGGCTAACACACGGTTTCCAAATGTGTTGGCATGAGTTCTTTACCAAATTGCAGTCTTTCTTGGAGAGAGCAGGATCATCAACATCGATCAAGGACATGCTGTTATGTCATTTCTCTATCCAAGTATTCCAATTTGCACCTAATTCATTTAATGGATTCACCCACATTTGAGAGAATGATACGAAAACTATGTTGGAGAAGGCAGAACGAGCAAGATGCCATATATCTAAATCATGCCTTAATACAAGGACACTAGGATAGGTCAGGATATCTGCAAAGACACATGGAGAGTCCTAGCTCTGCTCTTTTTAACTGTTTACTGTTAGTAGTTCTTGCTGTTTTTCTAGTTTCTACCGTTTTAGCATAACAAAGCAGGTGGTATGAGGAGGATTATGCAGGAGATGCATCTGAACCCTAGCTCTGATACGATAGATCATCAATTTATACTTCTCTATCAGATGAAATCAACCATTTAAAACTGTTCCATGGTTTTACCTCGAAAATAGTCTAAAAGGAAGGGGAAAACAAGAAAGAAAGAAAGTTCCATAAGTTGCACTGCATGGAGGGTTGTAAAAAAGAATTACATGAAGGAAAGAAGAGGCTCTTTCTCCCTCCGTGTGACCCGTTTTTATACTCTATACGCACCATGCATTTACGTCTCTCATTTTTAGTCTGTGATTGGGCCCGCATTTTGATTAAAGAGTGGAAGAGGGGACAATGGGAGGCTGCCAATAGCTTCAATTTGTTTTCCATGTTCAGCATCTTAAACACCTGCATGTTATCCTACAACAAACCCTTCATCTTTACCAGAACCTGCATTTATTGCTCCACTTCCTTCACTATACATATATAACTTGGAGTTGCAACATGGAAATCCCATATATCAAATTAAAGTTTGCATCCGATAAACCTACTCCTCCTCTGTCTGATAAACCTTCAAAATATTGCATCTCTGATAATATGTCTCTATTCCTTCTTCTTCTTCTTCTTCTTTGTCTTTCTCTGCATGCATGCGGTGCCAGACCTTTTGGAGTTGTTGATATAGAAAGAATTGTTACAGGGCTTCAGCTTCCTCACAAGGTCAGTATCAGTTTTCTACTAACTTGGACGCTTTTTATGCACTTGACACATATCTTAGCTTTTACAGTTTTTAAGGAGAGTTTCTTCTTTCTCCACAGAATATTGAGCCTTCGAGAGCTGAAGGTCTAAAAGTCCAAGAACCATCGGGGGCTAGAATTGACAAAAGACTGAGTCTACCCGATTGGGGTGGTGCAAACACAATCCAGGAGAAGAATTCTCAGACAGTAGGGAAAGAAAATGAAGATGATAAAGGTTGGCTTTTTTCCTTTTCCCCACGAGGAAAATAATCTTCTATCTCTTCAGTTTTTCAGGAGAAACTTTCCATTTTGCCAATGATACTGTGTTACTAACATATGCTGGCATGATTTGTAGGATATAGTGTTCTGCTACCATCACCTCAAAAGGATCTCCATGAGACATCAGAATTGGAGGTAAACCTCTTAAGGTCTTTTATTGCATGCACTAGCTACTTATTTTTACGCTCGCACTTCTATGCATGCATGAAGCACGTGTAAGGATTATGAAAGAAAAAACACGAAATGTTCAACTGCAATAGGTGCCCCATGAAAATAACCATCACCATGGATGCTGTTTGTAGGATCAGGAGAGGAGAGCTCGATCGATAATGGAATCACCAACAGCCAAAGCAGAGGAGACTGTGGATTCTATGGAAAATGACAAGGGGGAGGACATAGTGGTCATGGATTATGCACAGCCCCATCGCAAACCACCCATCCATAACAGAAGACCCTAAAACAAAATCAATCTCTCTTCACTCAATAATTTTCTTCTGTTTTGACCTTTCTTATTTTTCTTATTCCCTCTCCTCGGGGATAAAATATGTCGGTTGCACCCGAGGAAAAGTGGAGTAACGTAGCCTTAGAAGCCTCTCATGGTTTTTATGAATTATTTGCTGTATAACCTACGAATATGGGTATAGCAATCCACAGGTAGTTTCGGAAAACGTCAACTCAAATATTATTTTAGTTTATATCTATGAGTCACTACAGAAATATACCTAATAGCAGGATGCTTCTTAAATATGTGCATACGTCCTTTTAGTCTTTTACATTTATCTGTTGGTTTCCCTCTTGAATGGGGGAAACAGTTTCTAAGTGTTAGTTTGTGCACATTCCGTTGATTGTCCCAATGATAGGAGCAACAGGTCATGCACTGCAGTACTCAATTGTTTATCCCATTCGCAAACAGTGAGGAGAAGACCCCAAATAATGGAGGAAAATATTGAAACAGCCAAGTTGATGAACAACCTATAATACATGTGGACACCCTTAGCAAATGTTCCTAGAAATAGGTTTTAACCAGCGTGAAGGCCATGGCAAAACAGATAACCTACTAGAAGTGGATCCAAAAAGATCTGCTGTCTCTGACCTGAATTCCTACTTGAAGAGAGGTGGATTAGTTCTACCAATAAAATATAGGAATTTCCAACTCGATGAATAATTTGAGTTTGCGAATGCCACAATTGGAAACAATTCTTCAGGTTCTGAAAAAATTGTGTGGCTTTTACGGTATAGCTCCGTAGCTCTATACTCTTTGCCCTACCTTGGGCTTTGAGAAGCTTAATTCAGTATAACCTGAAAATTCTCTAGGATTCTGAATGTTGGCCTAAATCATTAAACCCTCTCCATTTAGGGCGTGCAATCGGCTTAGGTTTGATGTTAAAACCGTATCAACAGTTCTGCCATACTTCTTTCCTTGCGGGCAATGTACTACTCACACAGAAATTAAAAGACGAGAGAAAAAGAAGTTGTAGAATTGAATTAACGCATGCACTTGGTTAAAGAGAGGAAGATCGGAGTCTTGAGGCCCCTCTTCAGAACGTCACCACCATTTTCTCAAGAATTTCTTCACGAAAAACCCGCCAGGTTCTACAAGAGCATTCTGCCGATTCAGGCACAAATCAGCGAGGAAACAGTGACTGAAACTGCATGTTAATAGCTTGATTTGATGCCCAATTTCACCAGTTACATGGAAGAAGGTCGTGCTAATTCTAGGCGCCATTGCCAAGTTTGCTTGCGAGCCTAATTGTTATTTGACCGACAATGTGGTCTACGCAAAATTTACACCGCAACTCATGTTCTTTTGACGGACAAGAAATCAACTCCAACAAGTACAAAGAGAGAGACAATAGTGACAGGCCTAGTGCCCATCGCAATGAGGTAAAGAAAACCCAAGCTTACTTCTGGTCATTATTCTTAAATAAGATGAATGAGATACATGAAGCAAACAGGTTTCTGACATCAAGCACCTGAAAACTGAACAAGAGCAGCAGTCCATGATGTCAGCATGGGCAAGGGTACGGATATCAACTTGAGAAATGTCCCAGCAAAAAGCTACCTTTAGCCAAGTAGAAGAATTTAGCAAGTAAAACAATTTAAGTACTGCTACAGTTCACGATAAATGGCTTCACAAACTTGATGAATTCAGTGGTTCTCGCTCCAAGTTTTAGATCAACCTCACCGCCACCCAACCAGAAGAAATCAGGATTGAGCTTTACAATTGCTTCATCCAAAATCACCTGGGAAGATATTATGTTTTACCATCAGTGTGATACTGTCATGATACATAAAATAATAACATGTCTCTCGCACATACGGCAAGCAAACGTGATCATCATTGTACTTTTGCTCTGTGACCACATATAGCTTACACAAACGTGAAAGACGAATAAGGAGGTGCTGCATATTGGGACCTCTGGTTCCTTTTGGGGGACTTAAACTTCACTAAATAGGGATAAGAACTTTATGGTAATGGACAATGTTAATCATGATCTCAAATTTTAAAACCTATACATCTCTAAATAAGAATCCACCTGGCACAACAAGAGGATGAAAACTAGAGCAAAATTCAAAAGTACGTTCGCTTAGGATCATGCAATCTCAATTATAGTTCTAGCAAAAAAACCCCTGTTTAGCTAAAAGAACATTGTTACAGACTCAGTCCATCTATGAATCACCATATGTCACATTGAGCTGTTAATTATACATTACATATCCCTACAAGAAGTTGTGCCACTAGAGAATCACATTCATCATTGGAGGATTCTGTTCAACATCTTCACAGTTCAAATGCTCCCGAAACAAAGATGCTGAATTTAGATCCTAAACAACGTAGACAGCGGCCCAAGAGTTGCACATTATTAACACTTAATTCATCTAATGCAACGATCAATTGAAGATGACTAGCATAAGACAACACACGAATTGAGAACCAAAACAAAAGAGCTGCAAAATAATAGGAATGCAACTGAATTATATGTGCATATCAGATCATAAGTAGCTGTATGTTTAAAGTTCCACTGCAATTTCTCCATAGCACAGCAGCATAACTAATGATTCACAGCAGATACAATTTCAAGCTGACCTTTGGGAGATAAAATTTTGACAGGTATGATATGTTAGGACAGCAAGCAACACAACAGCTGGCATAATGAATGGCAGAACTCAATTTATGACAAGAATAAAATTCACACCTAATATCGACATTTTCCATCTATAAGCAGGAGCATGGGGGACCTTTGTGCAAGTATCTTATACAGCCAATCATAGGCTATAACAGGATAGACAGAGGAACATGACCTCAATTGTCAAAGGTTAGGGCCCAATTTGTTCAAGCTGCACCAAACAGCAAGAATACCGTGGTGCTTCCTATAGATTGATAATAAGCAAGTGGATGAATAAGAGGATAGCCACAAGCTCCGAAATGTTTTGCCACATTTATGACTACAACTTATTCTAACTAAATCGTTCATAATTTTGATGTAAATGTTAATTTGTATTTTTTTCATGTTCTCTCATGAAAATAAAAAATACCTGCTTCTGGATATAATTGCAATTAATGTAGACCAAGAAAATTTTCATGCCAGATTCGAGATAACACACCCAGAACTCATCAATAACAAGAATTTTGATTCACAAAATTTCTGATTACCGGGATGTCTGTTTTCATGCCAATACATGTCACGGCATTGTGTTCATAACCAGTCAACTTGACTGATGTCTCCTCAGGAGCAAGTCTCACTGCACAAGATATGCCAAACATTAACATCAGGAGGACTAATTTTCCCAATCTACACAATAGTCAGCTTAAGGACCAGTCTCAGCCACTGATTCCCCGACCAAAAAAAAAAAAAAAAGAAAAAAGAAAAGGACTGGAAACTAGCATTACCATTATGCATTTGAAAGATCTTTTAAGTCGTAACACTTTCAGGTAGAAGCAAACATAATAGTCCAATTACGCCGCTCATGACAATCAACTAAATAGCTTAAAGCAAGGATGCAAACTCATAAAATAACTATCTATGAAATGTATTAACAGCGATGATTTAGAAAACAAAGTAACTAACTCAAAAGGATGATACAAAGGAAAAGAATGTCACAACTCATTGTTATGACATGCATTCCAAGCACAAATCATAAATTCAATTGTAGGTCGTGTATGAATCAATATCAGTTGAATTATGACAATGCCTACAACTACTGTAACCAAGCTTGGAGTGAAACCTGCAGCTTCTCCTCACAGCAAAACTTCAAAAAGTTCAATGAGCTTACTATAATTCTGACCAGTAGAAAGTTTAATTGCATCTCAACTTGAGACAAGCAAAAGTGTGCAGGCAATTCCAAGAAATATCATCAAAAACAAGTCTACACAATGATTATGAAATGTCAGTAACAAATACAGGAAGCTGCTTAAACTTGTCATCTGCCAACTTACTATTAAATTTCTTTTTGGCTATCTGACCATTGTTGAGTGCATATAGAAAATTCTTCACAGCCTCAGCACTAAACCGAGCAGTATACTGCAATCAAATGTGCAAAGTCACTCTTATCCATATTCAGCTGTCTTCTGCATTTGTGTGGCACAATATGATAATGGAGAAACTAGTAATAAGTTATAAAACTACCTGCACAACAACAACATAATACTTTGAATAGTTGCGATCACTACAGTCGGTCACATTTGATGGGGCTTGAGTGTTTACCTGTGCCATGTAGAAAGACTGTGTCAGAAAGAGACTTCAGGGCCTAATCTCAAAAAATGCAGGTATATACGTGGAAAAAAAAAAGTCTGATGCTCCAATGGTCAAGCACATCGTCATGGTCATTATCAATCAGCAAACCTAGGAAGTGTTCTACTTAAATTGAATGCTCAACATACAAAGTGAGGCCTGGTGGAAAACTTTGTTGCTTTGGTACATCTAAGCTCAGACTCAGTAACATAAAGTACAACATTAAATTCTTTATCAGTGTATAAATACTGGTATGGATAGGGAAGCAGTTGTTTTTGAAGGACAGTCTTGAAATGGGAGGTTGAGATGGCTGTCACCACTTTTTTGGGGTGTGATATTATCAGGTTTTGCGCAATTTTTGCTTCTGGAGGGACTCCACTCTGCTCTTGGCACATTATTTGGAATATCGAAGGAGATGATAATTAACTTTCTGGTTGGTGTAGCATTGAAAATGACTAAATGTGAAAAAAGAGTCAGTCAGTAAACACAAGGAGATTTGATCAATAACTTATCTAACACATCATGGAGAGAGATGAACTGTTTGGAGTGTCAGAATTAACAGTGTAAAGATAGAAGGGACTCGAAAAAACTCAATCAACTAGACACCTTTATGCTTCATAACCTATATCTATCTTGATATTCTTTTACTTCTGAATTGTCAGGAACACAATCACATATGACTCACAGAGAAGAGAAACAAAAGGAAAAGGATGAATGGGACTGAAGCTGAAGGCAGGCATGTGGCACTGATTTTAGTCCAACAGCAAGCCACCAAAAAAAAAAATCGACAGACAACAAGATAATTACCAAAAACTCCAGAAAAATAACATGAAGCGAGAAGCTTCAGAAGAAGCTACAGAAGTTGAGTTTTATAGGAAACTAATTAGCGATGATTCTCAAATATGATTTTCTCCTATTGGAATAATGAGTTGTGCTTAGTTATCAGCTAGAATGTAATTAATTAGTTTCAAAACCGTTTTCTTTAGTCACTATGATGTAGCAATACTTTCACAACTTCTAAAAGGATCACAATTTCTTAAAACCTATTATGAATAGTTTGCATTTGCCCAACATTTTTACACTTTTACATTTTTATCTGGTTCTTTTTTTTTTTAATAGTTATTTCAGCTAAACTGATCCTTGGGAATAAATTTGTCTCAAAGAGACATCTATCACACTCGTGGATGCCAGTTACCAATAATTTATTTGCCATGAAATGAGAGCCACTCTGTACTGAGGCATTCTTCTGTCATTCACTTAGGGTGAAAGATGAACAAAGCTACTTGATACTTGAATCAAGCACGATTCAAGGAGCGAGCTTTCAAGATTGGTTCGTTAGCTAACCAAACCTCATCTCATGTTTGTTAACTTTTTAAGCACGCCTCTATAAGCATAAAACCTGAAATTAACTTTTAAATTATCTATTCAAAGCTCGCCTTGATATGAAAGCTCACTTGAGCTCGAGTAGAATGACAATGATCCTAGCTCGAATACAACTTTAAGCTCATTCTGAAGCTTTTGCCTCCATTGTCCTCGTTCACAAGCCTACAATTCCCTCGTCCTACAATCATTCATTTAAAAATTGAATCTTTCGGTTATTATTACTTCACCTAGTTACTTCAGTAAGGCCAGAACAAGCATAAATAATTATTATTAGACATAAAGGCAATGCAGCTAGCACGGAAGAGTAGAACAAAAAAGGAAATTTGTAATTGAAAATCGAAGATGTGAAAGAACACCGTAATACCAAGACAATGCTTTTGCAGAGATGGTGAATAGAAGCGGCGCCAAGGACGTCGCGGCGGGCGTCGAAGGTCCAATCGTAGTAATAATCGGAGGAAACGCGTTTGAAAATGAAGTCATTAACGCCGTTAGAGCGAAGGATGGCGGAGAGTCGGGCTTCGGTGGCGGTGGCGACGGCGGAGCTGGCGTCTTCGGAAGCAGGGGAGAGAGAAGGGGAGCTGGACAAGTGGCCGTGCAGGAGAGAGAGTTCGAGGTTTGTTACTCGTTGGAGGATCCGGGTTTGGACTTTCTCTAGATCCGCTAACGCCTCCATGGGTCCGACTCAGCTGCTGTGTCCTTTGGTTGGTTCATATATTAGAGCGAATCGGGTGAGCTGCGAATTTTGGGAATAAGAATAGAAAAAGTGCGCATTATTGGAAAAGAATTTTGGGAATAAGAATAAAAAAATTTCCTCTTGTGTGCATTATTGGAAAAGTCTTTGGTGAGTATATAGATTTCAATTGCGTCTCATTTTCTGTTTTTCATTTTAGGAATTTAAAAAGAATATTGAATCATTTGGTATCTTTGATTTTTACAACTTGGTTATACTAACAATTAGTAGTATAAAGCAAAAAAAAGAAAAAAAAAGAACTACTATGTTTGAAGTCTGCTCCTATCAAGGTGTAGTTTCTTTTTCTTTTTCCCTTTTTTTTTATGCATTGATAATTGATTTCTGGCCAATAGAGATGATTACCAAGAAACTAGAGAAACCATGTGTCTGGACAAACAAGATTTAAAGTAAAATAATTTATTTCATAAACTTCGATCATCTTTTTATCTTTTCAATCATTTTTTTATCTCACATATATTACGTCACAAAAAATGCTATAGTAATTATCTGAAATAAATCATTCAAATAAACTCTTATCCAAACAAACTTGGCCAATTTCTACTTTTCAGAGAAGAAAATGAGGCATTGATAAAGCAGGTTATCAGATCTAGAAGCATAAGAAAGTTACCAAATCGTCAAATGTTTGAATTCTGACGAGACGCGATGCATTAGTGTTGGTGGATTGCACCGCAGCTTATCCCATCTAGAAGCATAAGAAAACTACCAAAGCACTGTGGTTCCCCCGAATCGTCAAATGTTTGCGTTCGACGCAATGATTTTGTCGAATCTCGACAAAGGGGCTAGGAATAGAATCCAGGAGTAAAATCTAGTATTCTTTTTTTTTTTTTTTGCCCTTTTGGGTTCAAAATATAAAATCTAGAATTCACCAACCAACATTTATTTCTTTGCCTTTTCGATTAGTTACCTCTCTATTTTGTTCAATTTGTGTGGACGCGTTGTGTAATTTCGCATGCTATGAATATGTTATTTTGATTGCATTTGTCTTAAAAAATGAACTGATGGTTGGAGCATTGTTGCCATCTTTGATGAAGAGATTACTTTTTGGTTTTTTTTATCAATGAGATTTCCTTTATTTTAAAAGTTTAATAAATTTAAAAAAAAAACTTCACTTTAAACTCAATTGGGTTAATTATGTCAAATTTCAAAATTAATTTCAATGCAACTCACTCAAATTTTGTTTTGTTAAGAGACTTGTTTGAGACAATATGTATTGTTGAGGGCCTAAAATAGTGTAATGGAAATAGTTTAGGGGTCGGAGAATAGTTTCCCCAAACGAAAATGAACGTCAATGATCAGCTAACAGCCTGCCACTAGTCTACTGCCAGGTGGCATAAATTTGCTTGGCCCTGTACCTGATCACTCCTCCCTCCAAATGTGAAGTCTCCAGGAAACCGTTGACCATTGAAAAAGCCAAGATGCCCAACTTTCCACTCTCCTCTCCTTCTCCACGCCCTCATCCCCCACTTTCCCATTTGTCCTCTGTCTTTTCCCCTTCTCCAATCCAGGCCTTGCCATAAATAACTGCAAAATCCGCCATTGCCACCACTACCAACATCTCCCCTCCCAAACAACCTTTGTATTTTCAATCCATAACACACCAATGAAAAAGATGGAGTCATCTTCCACATTAGGCCCGGGTGGCCTGGACATCTCCAGAGCCTTCTTCAAACCCATTCTCAACTCTGCCCCACCTTCACCCACCAAACGCCACACCAAAATCTCTGTTATTGGGGCTGGAAACGTTGGCATGGCCATTGCACAAACCATCCTCACCCAAGACCTTGTTGATGAGCTAGCCCTTGTCGACGCCAAGCCCGAAAAACTCCGCGGAGAAATGCTCGATCTCCAACACGCAGCTGCTTTCTTGCCAAGAACCAAAATCCATGCTTCCGTGGACTACTCAATAACTGCCGGGTCGGATCTTTGCATTGTCACAGCGGGTGCGCGGCAGATCCCCGGTGAGAGTAGGCTGAATCTTATACAGAGGAATTTAGCTCTCTTCAAGCTTATTATTCCTCCGTTAGCCAAGTATTCTCCGGATTGTATACTCTTGATCGTTTCAAATCCTGTGGATGTTTTGACCTACGTGGCTTGGAAGCTTTCTGGGTTTCCGCCTAATCGCGTTATTGGATCGGGTACGAACTTGGATTCGTCTAGGTTCCGATTTCTGCTGGCAGATCATCTCGATGTCAATGCTCAGGATGTGCAGGCAAGTTTAGTTCCGCTACTATTACTATTTAGTTCATTAACATCTGACGTCTTGTAAGTTTTTTTTTTTTGCCCCAGCTCCCCCGGGGGGGGGGTGGGGGGTGGGGGGAGCTATTTTTGCTCTCAGCATTTTGCTTCTTTTGGTTTTACACTTTTTCATTGTTAAAACTTTGAATGATTAGGCTCGAGAAGAATTTGAACTTTACCTGATGACAGCTATATGATAATAATTGACGGTGGGGTCCTAACAAGAGTGTCATGGACTGTTTTCTATTTCAATCATATAGCATATTATTTAGTTCTAAATCGCGCTGCAATTAGCGGGGAAAATCTAAGGCCTAATTATTCTGCACAAACAAGTGTTTTATGTTCCATCTTCTGTGATGAAGTCAAAGGATTTTTATGGTACATTGCGTGTGATAAGTCAAAGGATCACTGCCTGCCCTATCGGCTATCGGGTAGCTTTAGTGCCTGATGGCTTGGAAAGAAGGCTGCTCATCTCAACTTTGTCCTCCAATAGCTTTAGCCTGACTGGAGGCGCAATTTCTAAAGCGACACTTTTGGACTATTTTAGTTCTTTCTTCCCATTGGTGAAAGATTTAGTATTGAAGTGGCAACTTGCAGATGGTGATTTTCATATGCATAGGAGAAAGAAAAGAAAATTGGTGGGGTAGATTTCAGTGCAATTCTTTTCTAATTAACCCCTAACATTGCAGGTTGGATACATAGAAGCTATCTAAATCCCGAAATGTAATAGGGATATCCAAAAGTTAGAACAGGAACAAGAATTTTAAAACAATAAGCGTGTATTTAATAAAACTGAAGTCTGAAATTTGAATTCATTAAGTTATTGAATTAAATATTAAATCTAATACATTTGAGTGCATATCACATTCATCAGTGATAAGTGAATAGATTATCACTTAATTTTGGGAGCAATTTTTGTTTAGAAAATTCAGTTCCACTTAATTCATTCAGATGTTAAATTTTTCGTTATCAAACGGTCTGAATATATTAAGATTTGAATCCATTAAATTTAAGTATTGAATTGGATTATCAAACAGGAGCTAAGTTGTATGAACTGTTGGTTTTGGTTTTTTTTTTTGGGGGGTGGCGTGTGCATTCATGGCTGGTAGGTTGCAGTTAAGCTATTAATTTGTTTCAAGCCATTTGGTTCTATAAAATTGCCAAGTTTATTTTAACCATTGTTCTCAAATTTTGATTGCAGTCCTTTTGCGTAACTTTCCATAACGCTGTCATAAATTGCTAATATATGTATTTGATTTTTCTTGTATGAAAACTACGGTCAATAGGCATACATGGTTGGGGAGCATGGAGACAGTTCAGTGGCGCTGTGGTCTAGCATTAGCGTGGGAGGAGTGCCAGTGCTTAGCTTTCTAGAAAGGCAGAAAATTGCATACGAGAAGGAAACTCTTGAGAACATTCGGAAAGAAGTTGTGGAGAGTGCCTATGAAGTAATAAATCTCAAGGGTTACACTTCCTGGGCAATTGGCTATTCAGCGGCTAACCTGGCTCGATCCCTCCTGAGGGATCAGAGAAAGATTCATCCTGTCTCTGTTCTTGCAACAGGCCTCTATGGAATTGATGGTGGAGATGTTTTTCTGAGCTTGCCTGCTCAACTTGGTCGGAGTGGCGTCATGGGTGTGGCAAATGTGGAGTTGACGGATTGGGAAGCACAGCAACTCAGGAATGCTGCTTCTACTATTTTGGAGGTGCAGAGGCAATTGGAAATCGAGGACCATTGATTCAAACCTCCAAGTCAATTGGCATTTGGTTCTTGAGATCAGATTCTGTATGGGGAAATTTTTGGGCTTTTCAAGTTGCTTGCTAGGTTTCCTAACCTTCCTAGTTTCTAGGTTCTCTCTTTGATGAGATAGTAGTATGTTGTAATATTTCTTCTTTTTGTTCTGTTAATGAATGTCAAACAGTTCGCGAAATTTATCTGAAACATCTCTACCAGCTGCAAATTTAGCATGATTCTCAGTGTTGATTATGAAACCAATTTAAAATTAATGCTTAAAGCTGAATATATAAAGAGGGACATGATTATTGCAGTAGAATAACTAATAGCTATGATAGTTTTCTTTCAAATTGAAACTGGAGACTTCTAAGGTTGCCTGTGTTTGTTTGTTTGTTTGTTTTTGGCTGAGACCCGACCTTACATGTATCTGTTGTCATTTAAGTAAAACAAGAGAAATCTGAAAATTTGACCCAATTAACAACGTGAGTAAAATGTGAGAATGCTGATGAAGGACATTATTGTAATATGGCCAAACCTCAAGGTTGAATTTATAATTTGGTCAAACATCAAGGAAGATAAATGGGAAAATGACATGTTTCATCCTTCACATTTCGTAAATGTATTCTTTTCGTCTCTCACATTTAAAACGAAACAAATTGATCCTTCACATTTAAAAACCCAAGCTTTTACATCCTAGAAATAAACTCTCAGTTGTGAATCAAACCAACCCGGTTACAAATTTTGGGGATAGAATTGGTAGATCACTCGCAAAAACATATTTCCAACAAATAAATTAAAGCAATTAAACAATCTTAATTAAAATCCATTTGTTTCTTCAAAAGAACGAAATAGTGCTAAAACTCTCAAGCACTAAACCCTTAGACATATTCCTCAGTTTTGTTGCACTAAGGGTTTAGTGCTTGAGAGCTTTAGCACTATTTCGTTCTTTTGAAGAAACAAATGGGTTTTAATTAAGATTTTTTAATTGTTTTAATTTATTTGTTGGAA